TGGCTATTGTTGCAAGGCCTGCAATATTTCCACTGCATTTTCATTTGTAGTCTTTTTCACTGAACTGGTGGGATTAAAGGCAGTAGAATGAGACACCATCAGATGTGTGCAAGATGTGAAAGGGAGAAAATCAGTGCTGAAAACATCAGAAGCTAAATTGTTGCCAAATTCTATTTGGGCATTAGGAGATCTTGGAATATGTAATTATCCTTTAAATGGCTACAATAGAAGTGTCTGTAACTATGGCTGCTGCATGCTTTAGTAGGAACAAAGCTGCGTGAAAGTTTCTGCTCTTGCTGTTCACCTACAGCAAGTTTCTTGGTCAACCCAGGCAACACTGTAGGAATGCAAAGAGCCAAAAGTCAAACATCCTCCATGATGTTTTATAGCAGGGAAGTGTTGAGGCCAGGCCGCCTTCTAAATTGAAAGAGGATAGATTTAGATGGTATATTAATAAGAAATTCTTCACATTGGCAGTGGTGAGGCCCCAGCACAGGCTGTGTAGAGAAGCTGTGGTGTCCCATCCTTGGAGGCATTCAAAGGCCAGGTTGGATGAGGCCCTGGGCTGGTGGGAAGCAGCCCTGGACTGGCTGGGCTTTGAAGTCGCTTCCAAACCATTCTGTGATTCTATCAGCATAATGCACTGAGCTGCCACCGGGCTGTTTGAGAGCTGTCAAGAAGTTTCTGGCAGTGTTTTCTGTGAAGATTCTGTTGGTCAGAATTTGCTCTGAGAATGCCTTCCAGTTCCCTACGTGTGCCTAGCAGTGCCAAACACAAACACTGACCTTGCCGTGTCTGAATTAACATCACTTGTCTCTATGTTGTTCGTGGCATTGCTTCCAAAGGTGAGAGTACTGTTACAGCCAGAAAAGCGACTGTTTAATGCACACATATGAAAATAGGAAAGATTGTCTTTGGATCAGTAAAGAATGAATCATTTATCGGAACAGGAGCACTAGTAGGTTTTACAGTTGAACTTTAACTTTGAATTGCTAAGCGTGCCTTGTTTTGTTCTGCCGCTATAGTGACCTGAAGGCTCTCTGTAGTCCTTGTTACAGTCCATTTTCTGTTACGTCTTACCCAGAACAAATCTGGTCTGTTTGCCTAGATGGGAGATTTATTTGCTTAGTTGAAACGTATTCCTAGCCAAGAGTGGTAACCGGGAGTCTCTGCGTCATGTTGTTCTGATAATGTGCCTGTGACTAAATGTTGCATCTTCTGTGGTAGCTGTGGTTTTTCACTTCTCCAAATGGCATCCTTCAGTGCCTTTTTCCAGCAGAGGCAGGCATTTTTCCTTAGATGTGCAGATCACTGGGTTGCTCTAATGACTATATTGACGTGCTGTTTGTAGGCATCTTCTGCAGCCTTGAAATCCCCGAGTATTGAATTAAAAGCTCTGACTTAGAGATGTCTGGAAGGATTGGTATGATTCAGTTGGTTGTATGTGTATTTTGACACATAGAACATTACATGGCAAATATGTAATAGGAGAAATAGATCTGCTGGGGAGTTGCTTGGACTAATCAATTATTAATAGCCATGCTGATCCTGAACAATTCAAAACTAATTTTACTTCATGGAAAAGACTGCACGGTTTTCAGAAACAGTAAGTTGAAATGAAAATATAAATCAGAGGCTGATGTTCTAATGCACCAAATTGTTACGCTGCATGTTTTAAATGCTATTTTCTGGATTCTGAAGTGTTGAAGGAAGTTAGATAACTAAGATGTTTCTTACTATTCAAACTACAGATCTGATTTTTAAGGTGTGCTATTGAGGAAAGAAAAATAATTACCTCGTGTTCAGAATGTGGCCTGAGAAGCCTGCTAAGTTAAATACTGCATAAGGTTGAAGTCTGATCCTTTCCTTCCTCAGAGATACTGTGATGCAGAGTTCAAGAACATCCTTAGGTGTGGTTAGGTTTCTGCTTGCTTATCTGCAATTATAACTGATGATTCAAATCTTTAGCATACCTTTGGAAGTGTTCATGAGATGCCTATAGAGCTGCCCTAAGCATTAATCAAGACCTCTGTTGCTTTTTCTGTGTGGTCTTTTGGGATGTGTATGTGTGCATTTACATAGTCAGAATGCAAATTTTTAAATAAGGAAAATTGGAACGGTTCTGAGCTCCTATTTAATGTTATAAATAGAAAAGAAAAAACAGTGGGATGAAGGTAAAATGGAGTCTGACTGCTCTTCCTTTCAGGGATTGCTTTTGAATGCGAATGCTGAGCAAAACAAGTACTGTTTTAGTGGCATAGTACCTTTATAAAATGAAGACGGAGTACAACAAAGGAGTGGACATGGGTAGCATTTATTTTAATGCTTTGCTGTATGTCAAAGGCAGGTGAGTGTGGTTTATTATTTTGAGGGTGGAATGTTAGATGTCTTCTCAAAGCATTTGTTGCCTAGCTGGGATGATGCTTCCTGTCCTTACATTCATGATTTCCCCATCTCTACTTCAGTGTTTGTTTTACCTGAAAGTTTGTGGCATCAGACTTGAGTTATGTCAATATCATTAAGTGTTAAGCTGAAAATTCCTGCTTAAGATGGGAATTTTAAAAATGTTTTGCATATTACTGTGAGTTCAGTTAGTAATTTATTATCAACATTAGGTTATTTAATAGCTTAAACTTTTGAGGGAGTTTTCTAGCCGAGAAAACATTAAAAAAAAAAAAAGTATAAATTCCCTTTAACAAAATAATGTGATTCTATAGAAAACTGTAGGCATAGCAGGTGCAGTCATTAATTGATAGATTCAACAGCCCTCATTGTTTTCTGCAAAATTAAAAACATTTTATGCATGCATATTTTGCAGTGACAGAGGAAGCCGATATTGGAAGATGTTTTTTTGGAGTGTGGTAGTTCAAATAAACATCAGTCCTATATAGAAAATGAACTCCTCGTGTTTCAGTAATGGATTGGGAGTTAATGGTTGTGCAAGTAGATGTAAAAATTGTTCTTTGTTTGTTTGCTTTTAAGAAACGTACCATGTCTGCTGAGGATATGAATCTGACTGCAGGATTTAAATGAGAATTTAAGCCAGCCAACCTCTTGAATTGTGGTGGGATGAGGTGTGACCTGCTGCATATTTTTGCTGCTTGCACTCCTCCTGAACACACCCCAAATAAAGAAGAAAAACTGTGTGTATATGGAGGGAAAAAAAAAAAGTTATTTGAGTGACCAGTGATAACTAAATGCCTAATTGCTTCCTCCTTGACACAGACGGGAGGTGTACTGCAGCGCTTGCACATCAGGTAGGAGCACAGAGGGCAGATGCGTACAAGCTCCTGCCTGGGCACTGGTTGGAGGAGACCATCCTTACAGCCTTGGATGGCTCCACATCTGGACCATTAAAAAGGCCCATTTAAACGCCAAAGTTTGCCTCTGCTTCAAAGGCTAGTCTCATTTTTTGCAGCTCGCGTTGTAGGCCTAAATTTTCATGCAAGGCAGCGAACTTATTCTTTTGCCCTATTTCACTTGCTTAGTTGCATTTAAGAAACCACAAACTTAAAGAAGAAAAGCTTAGATTAGATTTCTTTGTTCCAGGATCTTATACACGTTGTAATGTAGTGTGGCAACTTGCTTCTCTTTCTGAAACTTTAAAGGCAGTGTGAACGTAGTCTTGCTTTCTAATTTCTCTAAGTGTTTTACTCCTTACTGTATTTGTAGTATTCAATAAATGAATGGATTTATCTGAGTTACACAATACTTATATGTTTTACCATTTCCTTAGGTTCAAATATAGTAATATTAAATGAGTTATGTGAGGATGTGCAGCTAGGAGGCTATAAAATACTAAGGATACACTAGCACTTTGAATGCACTTTGGGTTTCTCTTTGTTTTGGGCAAATTCAGGCAGGCACTGAGCTTCGGAGTGCTTTTTGCTGTTCTGACTGCTGCTGCACGGCACTGGGTTGTGCTTGCCCAATTGTCTGTACAGCTAAAATATTTTGAGCGTAGCATATTTTGATGTACCTTCATTTGAAATATCTGCCTAATGGAGAAGTCTTAATGGAATACTTTAATAGCCCAAAGTGGTTACCTGCAATTGCTCTAGTGTATTTCAGTCAATTACAAAGGAAGGCAATATTTAATGTTGAAGTGGAGCTAGATGGTGTAATGAACTGGCAGATTGCCAGTATGATCTTCTCAGCAGGAGAATTTGTATTAATGCGGTGCTTTTCATTTGTTCCCCAGAAGGTCACCAGCAATACGTCAATTGTTGGATTTTATCATAGTTATCAGAGTCACTTGAATGACTTATCGTTTGAATTGAAATTCCCAGCCTGTGCAGTGCAAGGTTTATGGTCAGGTCATTTTTGTGTATTAGCATATTAAGTATCAAAGAGATTATTTTAGCTCTTTCTTGTCAGAATTTAAATAGAAAGTGGTTGGATATTGGGAAGGGAGCCTGAGAGAATTGTCACTGCGAATAGTCATTGTAAGGCTGAATTTGGATTTCAGTCATGGGGATAAAAAAAAAATTGGGGCACATCGCAGCTATTAATGAAAGAGAAGATGGTTAATAACTTTGGAGGTTACTTTTCAGATGATCATTATAGGAGCACTGGTTTATTCTTAGTGATATAATCTTTTAAGATGACACAGTTGAATTTAAAGTTGCACTTTTTGTTAGATGCTCCTGCTCCTTGTCTTTAGCTATTTGTTTGGAAGCACCAGGTTCAAATCCATTTTTGACAACTCAGAAGTGCTTTTCACTGTGGAACTTGAGTAGTTCTTGTGTTTGGGAGATTTTAGTCTAGCAAACCAATGCAACTGAAACATAATTTACAGGAATTTACAGGAAGCAATGCAACTGAAACAGATTTATCTTTCTACCTTGCATGATTGTAATCACTTGTTCACCTAAATCCTGTATTCTGTGTTTCCTGTTCCTTATTGTCATCTTCCATACCTTTGTTCTGGACCTGATGGTAATTGTAGGTTGTAAAGATAGTCGTGACTTGTAAGAGGCCTTGGCATTCTGCATATATAAGCATTGAGACACTTGAAGTAGTCTGATATTATAAAATCACAGACTGGTTGAGGCTAACAAGGCCCCCTGTGTGCAGGGTGCTTAGGGCCACGGTCAAGCAGCTGCTGGAGATCTCCAAGGAGGAGTCTGCACAACCTCTGTGAGCAGTCTGTGCCAGTGCTCCGTCACTCATGGAACACAGAAGTGTTCTGTCCTCTCTGCACCTTCCCCTCTGGTATTTATAGGCACTGATGAGATTTCCTTGAGCCTCCTCTTCCCCAGGCTGAACAGTCCCAGCTTTCCAAGCCTCTCCTCGTAGGAGGGATACTCCTGTCCCTTCACCATCTTGATGGCTCTATATTGATCTCTCTGCCGTATGTCTAGGTCTCTACTGGTGGTCCCAGAACTGAACGCGTTGCTCCTCTTGTGGCCTGGAGCTGAATTGAATTATGACCTGCATACGGTTATAATACCAAAAACTATTGAGTCAGTAGCACTAGTTATGCCTTGGGTGCTGTGCTACTGCTGGACAGCCATGACAGTAGCTGCCTGCCTGACTTGGTGCCCTTTGGAAAATGTAGACTCATTTCCAGAGTTTCCTCAAGTGTGGCAGTTTGTTTTGTGGGTGGACTGTGAGTATCACCCAGTGACTATTTGCCCATGTATTTTTGAAGCCTTTTGGAGGTTACAGGAAATGATTTTGTATTCTCAAAGCCTAAATATTCGTGACCCGCCCTGGCTTTCTCATCGGATATGGCCGTCTAGAGTTTGGCTGTTAGAGCACCATGGCAAAAAACCCCACTCGTGATGCAAAGCCTGTGGTTCAGATGCATGCCATCTCAAATCGTAACTGCTGTTTCCATTCACCATGTGTGAGAAGGAAGATGTCAGAATTGCCTAACTGAAGTACTGTTTCAAGGAATGTATTTGATGCGTAAATGAATTCTTTGTGGCCCAGGTTTCCATCCTGAGTTTGAGTCACTTGGCAAGTTGCAGTGTTGCCAGTGAAGCTTTTGGCAGGGAAGGTATGATAGAAATAGATTCGTACTTCTTGGGGAATGATTGTTAATGAAAGCCAGAGCGTAAACATTTTCTGGCTGTTGTGTAGCAAAATGAAGACTTTTATCAGGAGAAAGACGGAATTAGAGGTCAAAATGCAAAAGAATTGAGCCCAGAGAGGAAAGACCTGAATGCATCTTGTGCTGTTGTTTGTGCATCTGAGCTTCATTTCAGGCAAAGTGTTGGTAGGAATGAGATTTTCTTGTATGTTTTCCTCCTTTGACTCTTCATTTGTTTGGAGATGCTTCTAATATATGTTAATTGGGCTGTGCAAAATAGAGTTTTATTAAAATACTTTCATGACTCATTTTTTTAATTATATATTTGGATACAATTTGGACTTTTATTTTCCCCAGCTGTACTTTCTCTCCAGTTAACTGATAAATACAGGGTTCACTTTTCAGATGTTGATGATCAACAGTTCCTGTATTTCTGCTCACTTTCCAAGGCAAGTTGTAAACACTGATGCACATTTGTGAAGTTGGGAGCAGTCACTTGGAGTGCTGAGTTTTTCTTTAAAGAACAGAACCCCCAAATCCTCTGAAACAATGTCAGCAGTTTGGCGGAGTACTTTATTTGTGAACTTTAATGGACAGTAGATGATTTGTGGGGCGAGAGGGATGTAAGAGTACTATTTATAAGATCTTGTAACAAAATAAAGCAAATTTGCTTGCTTTTTTTTTTTTTTTTTTTTTCCCTCATGATTAACAATATTCTTGTAGGAGGGAAACATGGCCTACAAAAGGGAATGGGGATTGTTTAATCTGGAGAAGAGGCTTATTGCTGTCCGCAAGAACCTGAAAGGATTTTGTGGGCAGGTGGGAGTTGATTTCATCCTCTGGGTTGCTAGTGATAGGAGGTGTGGCAATGGCCTTAAGTTGCACCGGGGAAAGTTCAAGTGGGATCTTAGGAAAAATTCTTTGTCTGGAAGAGCAGTCAAGCATTGGAATAGGCTGCCTGGGGAATGGTGGAGTCACCATACCTACAGGTGTTCAAGAAATGTGTAGATGTGGCAGTTTGGGGTGTGGTTTAATGGGCATGATGGCTTGATGGTTGGACTAGATGATCTTGAAGTCTTTTCTAAGGATAGTAACACTATGACTCTGGAAGTGTTTAGCTGTCACGAGAAGGGATCTACTTTGCCTTAGGGTTTTTAACGTTGCTTCATTAAAGTATCGTTTCCATTTACAAGGTATCTTGAGATCTGTCCTGTAATTTAGAATGTGGAGCAGTTCTCATGGAGAATAATGGTTTGTGGAGACTAAGAATACAGTAGCTGGACAGGAGAATTGATTCAGCAAAATGTAGCTTTCTATCTACTGAAGACTTAGTGATACGAAGAGCCTGGCTGCAGTGTGCTGGGCATTTTGGCTTGTACTTGAGCACAAAAGAAGGATGGCAGGTGGTAGGTCATTCTCCCGTTGTATCAGTTCTCTGCCGTTACAGATGTATTTTCATTCATGCAGTGAACAACACTTCATAATTTTGCCTCTTCTGTTTTTTTTCCCCCCTTCCTTGTGTGTCAGGAGCAGCATCCTGCTTACTGTGAAATTTCATGGTAGCTGGGAAGTAGAAACTATTTCTTTTAGCCTCAGTGTTTATCAGTTTAGGGGTTCATCAGCTCCCTTTCTCTGCTTATAAACCATGTAAGTCCAAACCTGGCTTTCAAATGTCTTTGCAACGTATTTACAATACTTTCTTCAGTATTTTTTTTTTCCTCCCCTTTCATTAAGATGAATTAGATGAATTGCTCTCTTTAATTGAATTTCTTTGTAGGATACTTTTGTAGTGCAGAAATGGATTTGAATCCTTTCAGGGAAGATTTTGAGCACAAACATTTGTGCATGAGTGGCCTTTGAATGAGTAAGGTTGTAATAATGTGTTGTTATTAGCCAGGGGTTGCAGTACAGGAAGATGCTCGGAATTTTTTCCTTGAGTTTGATTTGGAGCTTAACAAATTTACACAACCTGAATTTGTCAGACTTACTTTGGAGTTGGAAATCTCATTAGAAAATAGAAACAAACTGTTGAAATAATCTGAGATGTCTTCTGAAATACTGCTTTGTGGCTAGCAACGCTTAACACAGCAGGTGTTGTTGGAGGACCCCTGTGAAGATTGGAGCAGGGCTAAGGCCGGAGCTGGTACTCTGTTGAGGTTAAGTTCGAGACACACTCAGGCAGAAGGTCTCCTTATTTCTTGGAATATGTTGCTGTGCCCAGCCAGCCTTGAGGGGAACCCTTTTTCATGTCCAGACAGAACCTCCCTAATGAGAGTTCTCCTTGCCAGCTTCAGTGTTCACTCTGACTTGTATTGGAGGGCCCTGAATCACACATCATAGGCTAGGGAGAACCATTTCAGTTCCCAATGGGTGGAAATTATCTGTCCCTCAGACTGCTGCCTGGGTTTTTGCTTCCATGCTCTGTTCTCCATGTGTGACTGTGTTTTCCTTTAGGAAGATGTGAGTTGAACTTGCTAGCATGAAAGTGAAGGGAGCAACAACTGTAGCAGCTCAAATGCAATTTTTAGAACTGCTGAATTTTTGATTGGGTTTATGCACTAATTTTTCTTTGTATTGTGGTGGCTGGGCTTATTCCCTGGGTAGTTTGGATGTTGTGCAGCACACTGATATCCATCCAGAAAATATATAAATACAGATTCAACTTACACTGAATAGGTGGATTAAGCTGAAGTCATTCCTGCTTTCTCTCCATAATCTCTTGAGAGAGATTGAAAAAACAAAACAAACAAAACAACCAAATTGTCTGAAGGTCAAACTTTAGTGCTAAAACTGTGTTGTTTGTTATTTCAGATAGTTGTGTGCATAACTTCGTTGGAGAGTCCTGCCTTTCACTGCCTGGATCCTTTTAACAGTGTGCCAAAGGTGAGTGATTCAGGCCTTATTTTTATATCTAAAGATAAGGAGCTAACTGGATATATTGCTTGGTTGTACTTTCATGTGGTGTGATGCCTGTAATTTTCTTCAGACTGCTGGATCATTTATTAAATAGCAGATCTTTTTCTTTCTGTGATCTGAGACGAACTAGTTCTAGCTCTTGCTTGAGAAGGTAGAAAGATAGGATCAAGTCATTAATTATTAATTAATTAATTAACTACTGCTATAGCTGTTTTTTGGCTCCTACCTTCTGTTCACTATGGACTACTTTGGCTTAGGACACTTAGAGAAGATGTAGATAAAGTGTATTGCTATGGGAGGAGGCATAGCAGTAATTCATAGCCTTTGGTTTAACAGCCTCAGTGTTATTCTTTGATTTCTGAAAACTAACTAATAATTTATTAATTAGTGAAATGAAAGAAGGTTTGTATATTTGTGGTGATTGGTTCTTTGTTTTATTATTTAGTTTTTGGAAGTGTAGATCTGAATTGCACTCAGTGTTTATATAGAGTAACTTCCTAAACTGTCTCTGAAGGCTGAATTATCATTATGGAGCTGATGTATCTTGTGGCACATCTGCCCACATGCTTGGTATATGTACCTTGGTATATATGGTATATGTACCTTGTTGTCTTTTCTTTTAGTAGCTTTTAAAGAAATGAAACCTCATCACAACTGTTAATTAAAGAAAAAAAAGGCAGGACATTGAATGAACTTTCAGTGTTGTACTGGATGCAGCACAGACAAGGGAACTTTACTATACAAATTTACTGTTTCTTATTCAGGTTCTCTGTTCACAAATTAAAATACAGTTACCTTCTTCAGAATGAAGTTATGATGGCTCATTATTGGCATTTTGTAGTCCTTAGATGAAAAGCAATGCATTAAGTCCCCATGTGTCTTGATTTTTGCTGTGAGTTCTGTTAAATGGCTGTTCAGTGAAGTGTTATCAGACATTAAACAAATTAATGTCAATAAAATGGAGATTAATCAGTTAGAATTACGAGTGCAATCCAGTCTTAAATTTATCACCTATTATTGGAAATGTATTTGGAAATGATTGGGTTTCCTTCAAGGCAATAGAAAAGAAAATTCTGAAATGCTTTGAGATGGGTTGACTTTTGCACTACATTTTCAGGTTAATTTATATCTATCCACTACATTCAAAGATGATTTTATAACTCTGGCCTTCCCAGCAGATCTGAATGTGTATCCTTGAACATTCTGTAATTATTTTTGAGCAACAGTGAGAAATCTTTTGTAATAAATTTTAAGAGCAGAGTGGTTGGTTTGTTTTTTGATTTGGTTGGTTGGTTCATGTAGGTAACAGACAAAGTAACAAAAGCTCTTGAAGTGGCCATTGGTGTAAATAGAAGACAAATAACCAATCCCCAAAACGATAATGATTCATCCAACAAGGAACTTAATCATAGTAAAATGATTGTAACTTTTCTACTGAAATTTCTGCTCACAAATCAGCTTGTTAACTGTGGCCCAGGCCTTGTATTCGTTTCAAATGTGTAATATAAAATTACTGGCTATTGGCTTCTTTCATTGTAGCTTCCACTTAAATTTTCTATAAAAAAGCTTCATCACTTTGTTGAAAGAAACAGGTATTTGGAGTCTGGCTTTAGCGTGTTTTTAATTCAAGCTGTTTCTGAGTCAAAAATCTTTTTTCTTCTACCCTTTAAAATGAAAACTTAAAAAACAAATCCAAACAAACACCAGGAACACCCAAAGCAAACACTTTTGTTGCAGATGAAGGTTTTATATAGTTCCCAAAAAGACAAGAGCTTGCTAAGAGGAGGAGAAGAGCAGCCTTTTCTGTCTTTGGACATCTTAGTTGCTTCCTCCACCCTTTTAAGTGTAGGTCTACAGAATACTTGCCCTCTCCAGTCAGGCAACACTTGATTTCAGTAAGAAAATTAAATCTCATTTCTTTATTATTATTAAACACCTGTCCCTTGTGTGCATGTGCATACCATTGTGCGTGTTTCTGATGGACTGTATGGAATTTGGTAAAACTGATTCTGCAGAACATGGAGCATTCTAACGCCTTTCCAAAAAGGGAATTAATGCTTATATGTAGGTTCAGTAAACCTTGTACTTGAAGTGCTTCACTGAATCGGAATCTAGTAAATATTTTGCTCTTAGAAAAGCAAATGCAGTTGTTAAATGTTCACAAATGACACTAAAAATGGTCTTTGTATCTCACCAAACTTCTGGCAGTATTGGCTCCTCACAGGATTTTGTTGAATCTGGGAACTGTGGCATAACTTGTGTGTTAAATGGTCACCTTTTAGCTGACTGCACACTTGCTGCTTTCAGTTGTTTGTTTCTCTGTTTTCAAAAAAAAAAGAGAGCTGTACAGAAGGGCACCTTTTTTGCTGTTAAAACTTACTGTCATTTCTGTAGTTCCAGTGGTGTGAAGCTAGAATGTATAATGTTCTAGCAATTTATTGTAGTCATTCAGTTATTACAAACTTGAAACTGTCCTATAAACGTTTACCTATTATAGAATGTGATATTTAATATTATTCTGTGATTTTGAACTTGTTATTCCTTCACTTACAGTTTCTTTGTAAAAATAAATAATTGCATCTTGTATTTCACAACAAAATGCTTTGAGAAGTGGTTTCACTATTAATATGTACCTTCTAGTGGTAATGTCTAGATAATTTGTTTTGGGAAATATTCTTTACTAGTATAATTTTTTTGGAGAATAAGCTTGCCGTCGTATATACCTTGCTGGAATGTACGTTTGGATATGTAGGGATACATCTGTACAGAGAAGGTAGATAGTCTGAAGAAATTCGAGGTAAGCAGATGAAGCTCAGTTGTCACAGTCTTTTTGTGCTCAGTAGATTTGCCAAACTGAGATCAGATGTCAGTGGCTACAGCATTAGGACACTTCATGGAGAGCTGCGTCTGTAGAGGTATTCAGACAGCTGCCTGCAAGTGCTGTGTTGCAAGGCAGGAGACTCACTGGCAGCTTCTGAAAGAGCAGTCGTCTTCATTTAAAGAGGTAAAGCACCACACTGATTTCAACGTGATGCAGCTGTCTGCAATGCTGTATGAAAGTACTTGGTGTTTTTTGTGGCTCACCACGTTTGCAGTTGTTAATGGATTTTTGAGGAGTTGAAAACCGAGAAGATTAGTTCCTGTTCTTAACGTACCATATGAGCTGGTTTCATGGGGAGTTTTTGTTCTGATAGTAATTAGATGAATGTAAAGCATGGACTGAGTAGATTTCTACATTCTTTTCCCAAGAATAATCATGTATTTATGTCAGTTATCATAGGTGTCTAAAGTGTTGATTTTAAGCCTTTGAGTATAGCTTTTAATGTTTCTTAAAATATTTATGGAAGTTCAGAATAGCTATCAATTTTATAGAACACTGCCGATTATCTTGTGCTGGTGATACAATACTTTCTAAATGATGGTAATGAATATGAGAGAAGAATGCTTTCCCTTCTGCTCTCGTGTCCACATAACCAGCAGTATACCCCCCAGGTATTTTTATGTTGATGCGGTGCACGATAGATTTTCACTGAATTAAATATTTTTTTTTCCAATTTTGACTAATTTGTTTCTTGTTGTAATCAAATTGTAATTCTTTATGTGAAAGCATAAGCATGCTTTTCTTTACTAAAAATAGCAAAGTAGATAAAGAATCGTTTGACTAATTTTTTTCATTATTTTTTCCTGACTGCATCAGGTTCAACTTAGATTCTGCTGCTACCTACAAACCTAATCTATTATAGCCCACCAATGACATTTGTGACTCACTGTAACAGCTATCCATATGATTTCTGTGTCACAGAGAGCACAACCCAGCTTTTATCAATATGTGTACATTCAGCTGAGTGCAAACAAAAAGATGACAGCGTCTTCCCCGGTGGAAGTTGTTTTGTGGTTTGGTAGTTTGTATGGGCTTCAGCTGTATTTTTATCCAACGTGTCAGCTTTTTAAGCCAAAAAAGGGCTTTGCCTGCTGAAAAGGATCTAGTGTATTTCTGAGCTCTTGAATATAGCAATGAATTAAACTACTTATTCTTAGTATGTATGAGTATATGTGTATTTGTACAAATAAGCTAAGATGAAGCTTGTGCCTCTTTGTTTGTAAAATGATAACAAAGGACCCAGAGACCAAGCCTTGTGTCTTGACCAGTGCTAGGTGGAATGTTGTTGAGCTAGTTGAACCCATATTTCTTGGGTTACTAAATGAACATACTCCTGCATTAAGCTGGTTTCAGTTAGAAGAGTGGAATACACACAGCTCTTCTGAGGGACAGCTGATGTGGTTCCGAATACCATCTTAAGAATCTCTTGATGATAGTTCATGCGGTCAATCTGCATTAATGGAAGAGTATCTGATTTGCTGGAAACCTTTGTTAGTTAAGTGTTGCATATGGAGGCATGTATCCAGGAAAGTCAGCTGGAGAGCTTGGAATGTGTGGATTTTAAGCAACCCCTGTGCCAACACATTGTGCAGTATGATAAGGCTGTATCAGCACAGGGGCAGTTTATTAATCCACTGCCCTCCTGGAGGAGGAAATAGATTAGCCAGGCAGCCAAGGCTGAAGTTACCAAGTGCTAGCTACCCTAATAGCTCTGTCCTGCCCAGGAAGGAGCTGCTGTTATCTTCTGCTTGCAAACTTTTCCTGAAGATGCCCTCCCGTCAGCTTTCTCAGGGATGCCAGGCTTGTTTCACAGCTCAGTACTTTGAGAGCTTGACTTAAGGCTTTACAGAATGAAGAGTGCAGGCCAGCATTGGCATCGGTTCTGGTTATAAAATCAGTTGCAGAGTTGTTTCTCTATTTCATAATTGCTGGAAGACAATTCTTCTGTTTTGAAGGTTCTGAGGGAACTTAAAATGATCCATTGTTTGTGTTACAATCAGGGTGTAAGTTAATAGAATGCAGCTAAAATTGTAAATGCCCATGTTTTCAATAGTGCTCTTAACATATTCCATATGAAAATACATAT